GACTTATTAAATATCAATTCGTGGCTTTATTGAAAATGAGATTAGCACAGTGGTTATCATGTGACAAAACAGTTTCTGTGATTTACTCATGGACTGCTCTTCTTTCTTCTTTCTTCATCTGTAAATACCCTGAAGAACTGGGGGGAAAACATGGTACCAGCTAACCAAAGGAATGGAAATGAGAATAAACATGTTTAAATCCTGGTGCACTAGAGTGCTTTATCATGCTCATCTTCTATGTGGAGTTATTGATCTCTTTTAGTGCAGCAACCAGGCTGTGAATATGACCTATGAAAGCACAAAAGATTTTAAACTTTATTATGTTGGCTTGGGATTCAGCCTTCATTGGAACTGAAAGGACAATTTTCTGGGGATATGTGTGATTCAAGGCAATTTATTCATAAAGCAAAGAGGAAAAGAATAGTAGCAGTCACTGGGGAAAGTCACAAAGGAAAACAAATCAGAAACACTGAAACATTCACTCTAGATAAGGCCACAATTCATGGGAAGTTCAGGATAATGCCACAAACCTATGGAGAATGTGAAAATGCTCAGTTGTCCTGGATGCCAATAACAATTCCTATCACAGAAAGAAGGGATAATAAGATTATTTAGAAATGATCATAATGCTGTTTGCATTTTTGGTCTGTTCTTTTAAAAATTAAGCATGAAGATTTTGATCCAACGGCCACTGGAAGCAGCAAGTCTCTGCATTTAGTTCCGCAACTTTGGATCGATATAAATTGAAGAGCACTGCTCTTGTTGAAAGCTCCCAACACTACTGTAAGGTCATAGATACTACATATGTTGTGCGTTTAGAGAGGAAGTCCATGTATCCATGTGTCTTTCTTCATTTATTCATTCTCTTTGGAATATAGTTTTCTGAGGAGTCTGAGAAAATCAGTTAATTCATTACCGAATCGTGCACTGAATTTTGATTTGCAAGCATTTACATCTTAATTTCATCCCTTCTCTAAAGTTCTGACTCTTATTAAATCCCCACATTAGAGTTTGGAAGCAGTATAAGTGCATGCAGAGAAGTGCTGGTGTGCCTGCAGAGCTCTGCTATTATTTGTTAATTACCAAAAAAATAAAATATTGAGTTCCTAGATATGACTCATGCACTGAAAAGAATGGGATTTATGGCCACAAGGGTCTTTTTCTGTAACTGTTGGTGCTGGTTCATCACTTTCCAAGAGCTTCACCAAACTGTTCAGCAAATCTCTCCAGCTAGCTCAGCAGCTCCAAAGGAAACAATATCAAAGGAAAGCATTAGACTGGCACTAAAACAAAGAAACAGCAAACTCTGAATGTCTCCCATATTTTAACATGACTCTCACAACTCCTCTGAGGTAAATGGGAATTTATAAGGATCACGTCTGTGGCCCACAAACTACTTCTTTATGAAAGAAAATTCTTTCCAAATTTCTTAGCCTTGTCAGGACTTACCCTTCTTGAATGTCAGTGATGCCAGTGATTTTTGTTGCAAGAAATAAATAAAAACAACAAAAAACAACCACCCCATGGAGCAGCCCATCTTCTTTTTAAAGCTTCATACTTCTGTTATTTCTCTCTCTTTTTCCTATTCCATTCTTTTGCGGGCTCCTTTTCTAAACTACTTATGCTCTGTCACCACCTTAAGATTTTAAAATACTATGAATATATGCTCTTTTCTGTACAGTAAAGGTGGATAAGAAACCCTTGTTGTATGGAACAAGAAGTTCTAGTATCTAGAAAAAAAATCTGGATTAGAACACGAGCATCTTGAGCTAGCATTCCAACAGGCAAGAACCTCAATATCCATCAAAAGAACCCATATATTTGTGAAGCACGGTCTGGTATGTTAATTAAGGGCAGTTGCTGATGGAATACCTGCTTCACACTGTAGCCACTCTGATATGATATTTGTAAGTCGTGTGAGATGCCTCATGGATCTCAGTGGATTAACGTTTTTCTTAAAACTGGACTGTGTTGTGAGGCATAAGCCTCAAAAGGTCTTTGCCCTGCAGCTTGATATGATAAGAAAAGAAAATGCTTTCTCTGCTCTACCTCCTGCTTATTCTCTCTCCTTGCTGGAGGACAATGGTGCCACACACCTCTCATACTCTTCCAACGGTAAGGTACTAGCTGCACATAAGCTCTGGCCAGCTAGAAAAGGCTGGTGCATCCAAACATATAATGATCCAGTCTCCAGTTCTGTTTCTGAGCTGGTTATTTTCTGACTCAGAGTTGAAATGTCTTATTTTGGCTGTCTGCTCCAAAGAGCAAAAGAAGAGTTCTCTACTCCTGCATTTCTGTATGATGCAATGTACACCTCACTGTCTCTTGACTGAAATACAGTAATGTAGTCCATTATCAGATCATGAAGATTTTGAGGATTAAGAAATCCCAGTTTATACAGGTTTCTGTAGGACAACCCCAGATTAATACACTTTGCTAAGCCTATATTTCATCTCTGGTCCTCTCCCATACAGGCTTCCAAAGGTGTGAACGAAGAGTAACCAAGGTAATTGGACTTATACTAGTATTCTTGATACATAAACTTTAGGAAAACAAAAGAAACAAACAACTTCAAACAACAAAAACTCACAAAAAACCACCATGTTTAAAATCTCAGCAAACATTGGTGAACTGCATATTTATGTGCCACCTTTTTTACATTTCTTTTCAGTTGTTGGCTCTGCTGCATACACAGATCAAAGTTCCGTGCTCTGTCTCATTAGCCATGGTTTTACTACAGAGTTGTACACTCAGAATACCAGCTTGTGCCTCAGCTGTTCTTTGGGTGCTGCTGACAATGATAAACAGGGAGGTAGCTACTGTTTTTCTGGACTGGAAAGATTTCTTAGGCTGGTTGTATCTCCAACAGCCCTCAGATCACAATTTCAATCCAGAAAAGCATTGAGTCCAATATAATAGGAGACAATGACAGCCACTTGAAATTAGATTTGGCAACGACCTTGTTGACAAATGCTTCTGGATAATGCCTGTGGAGAGAAGTATGCTATCAAAGATGTGACATGTTAACTTAGTCTGAGCAAAGAAGGTGCAGACCCATCATTTATAAAAACTCACTTAATCTGAAGATTTTGACATTCTTCCAAGACAAAGATACTACCAACAGTAAGATATGTTCAATAAGATGTCTGTGCAAGAGAATGAGAACGATAATTGACATTCTTGAAGAGCTTTTTGTCTATACAGTTTAATAACCTCCACCTAGCAGTGTCTCTTCAGATGCAATGTGAGTCAGAGATGAATCACACCGAGAAAAAGGTGTCTTTATCTGTCATAGCAGACTTGATCAGATGGTTAGTGCTTATTACTGCAGGCACTGTCGTTTTGAGCTGTAGGCTGTAAAATACCAGGAACACCTGTAACACTCAGGCCTCTTTTTTATACATTTTGGAGATGTCTATTTTTTTTTATCCTCTGCAAATCATAGCAGAGGCCCACATTTTTCAACACAAGATTTCTCTTTGCTTGTAACAATGAATTAGACTGAAAAATCATTCCACATAGGTCTACTCTGCAGAATTGCTTATAATAGAAGCAATAATGTTTGTGCTTAGCTGGCATTAACCATGATGTACCTATTTAATCACTTTGCTTCTTATTGTAAATCAGTTCCCTAGCTGTAAAACAATTTCTGTCACTCTCTATTGATGACTCTCCAACTTCTAAATTTCCATCTGATACAGAGGTAACAAAAGGAATATACTGTCTTGGCTGCCATCCACATTATTAGGAAAAAAAAAGAAAAAAAGAAAAAAAAAACAACCACCCAACAAGAAATGACAGAAGTACAAAGACACGTGTCACTGTGTTACAGTTGGAGAGATTAGCACGGTGGAATGGCAAAGAGACAAACAGGAAAAGAATGCTTACCCATTTAACATTGCCTTCTCTCCCTGCCACTCATCACTTTTTTACTAAGGAAGCATCATACAGTAATTGAGCTTAAACAAAGGAAGGCATCTTAAAATCAAATCATTGTCCTGAGATCATTAATATAGAGGTATTGTATTGCCTTACATCTCATTTAAAAGAAGAGCCACTTCTCTACCCCCTAGCTTTAATATAGACTCTCTAAAGTGTCAGTGAAGGTGTAGAAGAAAGCAGTGCTTCATCCACATATTCATGCTTAATTATTATTATCTAAGACTACAGTTTGGGGTAAATCTTCTTAGATATATTACTGTCAATGATCATACCTATAGACATATCTTTTAATGCCCAAGGAGTACTGGATCTTCGGTCTACCAGCATATCTAATTCTTATAACAATAATTCATGATGACAGACTTTCATTTGTTTAGTTTTGGTTCCACTAAGTAAGAAACTATCTAAGAAGATTTGCTACTTCTACAGTGTTGGTCTTCTAACTAGTGATTTTTTCAAGACGAACTTCTCACAAATGCATAAAATCAAGTAACTGGATAATGTAGTGTTATATTCTGGCTTTTAAATCACTGAGTTCACTCACTGGTTGTGAAGTGATGGAAACATAAGAGTTACTAAGAAGTTCTGAAACCTAAAGTAAGAAACCTAAAAGAGAAAACAGCCTGAATTTACTTTTAGCATTGCTGGGTTTGCCATAGCTCCTGAAGTTTGGGAGTAGAGTGCGATAACTGAGACCCGCAGACTTCCTTGTACCTGGGGGAGAGGAGAAGTCCATGCAGAGAAGCCCAGAGGAGGGCCACAACGATGCTCACAAGACTGAGCACCTCTCCTGCTAAGATAGGCTGGGGGAGCAGGGCTTGTTCAGCCTGGAGAAGAGCAGGCTCAGTGAGGGAGACCTGATAGTGACAGCCCTGCCCACGACGGCTGAATCACAGTCTCTGCTTTATTTATTTTTATTTCTGTGGCATGTTGAGTGAAAACAAACAAACAAACAACACTTCCAGCTGTGCGAAAGCCTGGCACAAGTCTGCAGACAGCCACCCCAACCCAGCCCGGAACCTTCGTCGGGCGGAACGCAGGTTGGCGGAGAATGAGTCGGACCGGAAGGTGCTCAACGGACGCGGCAGAGGGAATATGGCGGCCGCCGTGGAGAGCTCACGAGGGCAGGAGGCAGTGGGCGAGGAGGCGGCCAGCGGTAACGGGGGGTAGCGGTAACGGGAGGGGGGCATTCCTCTCCTTTGATCCCCTCCCTGGGTTGTCACCCTCCACCCTCTCTGCCTCGTGCAGTCTGCCGGTGGGACACCACAAGCCTGAGCACCCCTCAGAAGTGTTCTTATGGCCGACGCTGCCTGCTGCCTCCTCAGCTGCTATTGGGTTCCCCCGGCTTCTCCCGCTGGACATAGCCGGCAGGCCACTTCTTACAGGGGCCCAAGCAAATAATTTTGGCGGCTGCTGTGTGTGTGTGGGGGGGGGGCTGTGTGTGTGTGTGTTGG